TACTGGGAACTGATGGCAACTGTAGAAGAGTTGCTCTGTTTTGGCAATTCATAGGTTTTGTGACAATTGATTTGTTGACGGAATCGTTTCTAATAGAGTTAACCAATCGATTCCAAGACCAGTCGGCGGTGTCTAAGCTTCGGGTCATATCGATCTTCGTCAGCATTCGTATGATTGGCGGCAAATCGCACTTCTTGTATATAATTGGGATCAGTTTACGATTTCTTTGTTCAATGGCGAGTCCGGTGGCGAATGCCGTCTGAAAGTCACATTCGGGACACTCGAAGAAATCGGGCGAAAGAATGATCAATACTTTACGGCACTGCGAGTCGATTATCTGCGCGAACGTCTCGTAAGCCCACGAACCCAGACATAGGTCTCTATCTCTTATAAATAATCGCAAACCAATCTTTTGGGACAAATCATGTCTTAGATTCACGTGAGAAACAAGTTTCACATTTTATGATTACTTTTGGAGATTCAAGAAATTGAGACAATTGTTGAACGAAATCAAAGTCTTTGTCAGAATAGCAGACATACGCGTCGTAAGTGATTATCCGCTCAACGGTTGTCATCAATTGGTTTGTGTCTGAAATGAGATTTAAGACAACAATTAGGAGACAATTGGATAGACGTGTGATTGAGTGCATACGCGAAGACACCATTGAATTGGGGTTAAGATTAGTGTAATGTTTGGCGTCATTGAGAAGAATAGGTGTCATGTCGTCAATGATGTCAAACCTCTCCATACGAGTCAACATTTGGATGAGTTGTGCAAACGTGGCGTCACTTCGGGTCTGATATCTCTCGAGGAGACCATTGAAGGGATCGTTAGTTCTTAGGAGGGAATCGATGACAGCGTATGAAAAGCCCATCAGTTCTGCTAATCCTCTGTAGTCTCGGGAAAGACCTTCAGATGTAAGGTCTGATATCTCTCGAGGAGACCATTGAAGGGATCGTTAGTTCTTAGGAGGGAATCGATGACAGCGTATGTTTTCGGGTAGTCAAGACGATTAGGAGACATCAGAGCCCTTTCTGGAAGTCTACATCACTATATAACGAGAGGTAAGTCCATAAGTCTGTTAGCTACAGAACAGCTGTTTGTGTAGCGGGCGTTGCCTATATCACCCAAACAGTCGTCCATTTGGTCCGACATATCTTCTGTCAAATCATACCATTTGATCCCATCTTCACATCAAATGCCAAATATTTTTGTAAACAAAACACAAAAATCGTGTCAAAACTTGACGTAAAAAGACGACAATTTTCAATACAAACTCATTATATGTTATGAAATGATTATTAAATTCATTTGATTTCAAAAACTTTTATTTCCACTTAAATTGAAACCCATTTTAATGTTTATCACAAATTGAGACAATCTTTACGTGAAATACATATAGATTTGAATTAAACTAAATTACGTTAAGTGTTAAAACCAGAGTTTCGTTCCCCACCTCCACCCCCGATGTTGTCCAATCCCACATGTGATAGCACAGTAGTCGTAGAAGCACTGTTAAGCCTAGAACTCATCCCTGCCTTTGACAAGGCTTGTAGTTTTATACA